GGGGGTGCTGGTTGACAGCCGGTTGAACGTGAGCCAGCAGTGTGCCCAGGTGGTCAAGAAGGACAACAGCATCCTGGCCTGTATCAGAAACAGCGTGGCCAGCAGCACCAGGGAAGTGATTGTGCCTCTGTACTCAGCACTGGTGAAACCACACCTTGAATACTGTGTTCAGTTTTGGGCCCCTCACTACAAGAGTGGAGGTGCTGGAGCACGTCCAAAGAAGGGCAACAAAGCTGGTGAAGGGTCTCGAGCACAAGTCCTATGAGGAGCAGCTGAGGGAACTGGAGTTGTTTAGCCTGGAGAAGAGGAAGGTGAGGGGAGACCTTATTGTTCTCTACAACTACCTGAAAGGAGCTCGTAGAGAGGTGGGTGTCAGTCTCTTCCCCCAAGTTTTGAGCAATAGGACAAGAGAGAAGGGCCTCAAATTGCACCAGGGGAGGTTTAGATTGGATATTAGGAAACCAAAGGGTTGTCAAGCATTGGAACAGGCTGCCCAGGGAAGTGGTGGAGTCACCATCCCTGTAAATATTTGAAAGATGTGTAGATATGGTGCTTAGAGACACCGTTTAGAGATGGACTTAGTAGTGTTAGGTTTACAGTTCAACGATCTTAAAGGTCTTTTGCAACCAAAACAATGCCATGATTCTATGACTGAACAGTTTTCTAATGCAGATCTGCTTAGTTAAGATTGAACCAGAAAATTTCATTGTTCATCTTCACGGACATTTGAGAACTAGGACAAATCTGGCTGATCCGTACCTAGTTTGTGATGCCAAAAGATTCAAATGAAGGCTCCAATCCTGCAACTGGATCTGTGTAAATAGTTGATAGGACATACAAGCAGCTTCACATAAATAATTAATGATCATAAATAAATAATGATCATTGCTTTGAGGTGTTTCTATTTATTTTGAAACAAACCTGTCAATATTTGTATTTCTAAGTGTCTTCTATTATACTGACAGTTCATTTATGCAGATTAGTTCAGTTCTAATAATAAAATACAAAACTATCAGCCATTTTAATGACAGGATCGATACAGTTACACAACCTTTGAAAAGCATGCTACTATTTTTTGTCAGGTGACTACATTAACAAATTCAACAATAACATGAAGTTAATTTGTACCTAAAAGTGAGTAAAATTTTAATGTTTTCCACAGTTTTAAACAGAGTCTATTAATGTTTAAATGGAACATTATTTCCTGTTCTATATCACTATGCCACCCTACTCTATTCTTTTAACTCACAAATTTTCAGCAGCCCAAACATCTTTATGCTGGTGTAATTGTAGCAGCACAGCTATAGTTCATGTTCTGTCAGCATTTCCTTTAAAAGCTACATTCTTCAAGTTTGTTCCTTGGCCATAAAAATTCACGCCAGGTTGAAACTTTGTGTAGGAGTTCCTATACTAGCAAATAAATTTTCATAAGTATAGTTCAATATATTCCTTTACTTCATTTAAATTTTATTTGATTACTTGTACAGGAAAGTAGGAGTTAAAACCCAGCATTTTTAACATCAATGTTTTCTGACCTGAAGGCACAGACCACCTTTGAAAAATAAAATGGGTTCAATATATATTTTTTGTTTAGATCTTGTATTATTTACCAGCTATAAGATGCACAGAGGAATAGTTTGATTTATTAACTGAATGTAGACACAGAAATAGACACAGAATACAAATACTACTCATTTCAACACTAAACCTAGCAGCTTGTTTCCAAGGTTTAACATTTCAGCTGCTTTAAGTCTTAAATACAAAAGATTGTCATATACAACACAGAGTATTGTTTGTGAAGATGTAGGAATCTGCGCATTCAAAAACATTGTCCCAATCCAGAAAGAGCACTGGTGTATTTCACTTTACAATGGGAAATATACACAAGGTTTCAGGATCATGTAAATTTTATAGTCAAGTTACAAATCTGAAAAAAGTTTCTTAAATGGAAACACTGACACAACCTTCACTATAGTATTGCAAACAGCAACGCTATTTTATAAATCTTGAACAATGTTTTTTAAAGTAGGTGTGGAACTGATTATTACAACAAGGGATCAACTGTAAATATAATACCCAGAATTTCAAATTTCAAGCAGAAGTCCACTTGGTTGATTTGCTCAGGCGTTTATTTATTTATTTATTTAAATGAGTAGTCAAATTTTAAGGATCTACTTTTCACATGGTACTCTGCATTACCTTTCTTTCACCTAGCTTGGAGAATATTATAATTGCCTGTTGGGAAGTTTGTTACAGCAGCTTCCTAACAATAAGAAAGTTCTAGTAGTAAAGCTTTTTTTTTTTTTTTTTTTTTTTTAAACAGTGATACACTTATAGCTTTATAAGTTTACAATCAAGTGCAGTGGATGTTTTTCCACAGGCATAAGGAAGAAATTTTGAACTAAGAATCTCTCCTCTGAAAATTCCAGCAGACAAAGTAAAAGTTCTTATGACTGGTAAGGGAAATGGTAGCAGTCCATTCCAATGAAAATTCTAGGATCAAAGGACCACTGACTGTCAGCTTTATGCTACATCTCCCATATCTCTTGGGATTTGTAGTGAGAATTTGCCCTTCACTAATGGTCCTGTCAATTTCAAGCCCTGACTGTACATGTATTTTCTAACTGGAATCAGTGGCTACAAAGCGGCCAGCGTATCGTTAGTCACAATACAACAGTAAGGTTGTGAACATACCTGAGCAATGTTCAAGGTCTAGAGCATTGGAGGATGGGCAGGACAAGACAGGACAGAACAAAAATAAAGGAAGAAAAAAAGAAAAGACAAAACAGTGACTATGAGGCCAGCCTCAAGGATCCCCGAGTCAGACTAAGCCCTCCCATTCTACAGCATAAAAAGAAAAAATGTAACAAAACAAAACCCAGCTTTTCACTATTCTAGTACTATAACATGCCAATGTAACAGACTACAACAATGCTTTAAAAACTAATTACATGAACAATAACCATTTTTATTGTTTGAGCTAGCAGTCTCCTACTGTCTGTCAAAGGTGTACTTGAGGCTGGCCTTATAGGAAAAAAAAGCAATGCAAAAAAAAAAATCATATTTTAAATCTCTACTTTTCAATTTAACATTCGTAAAGCAATATACAAATGATAGGAACAACAGTGTCCAATTAACCTAATATGATCTCATAAAAAAAAAATTAAAAAAACAAAAACAAAAACAAAAAATTCACTCTCTGGACCTAAACTGTTTTGCTTAGTTAGCTATAGCAAAGAAAAGAGAAAAAGAATAGTGCAGATTCTATGCAGAATTAAATCACATGTTACAGCATAGTACAGTACCTGCTTATTCAGACCTAGCATATTGCAGACCATATCCCTTGAATACGGTTGTTCCAGCACATATCTCAACAAAGCAGTCTGTGGCTCAAACAGATCCTTAAAAAAAAAAAAGCAATCACATACAAACATATATTGCCTCAAGATTATGTTTAATACTGAGTTTACATTTAAGTGAATTAAATAATGTAAGAATGAATGTTTAATTTATGTATATATGTATTATCTGGCAAATCTTTTTGCTTTCTGATACCCAAAAGAAAGGAGGAAATAATCACAGCTGTTAATAAGTGACAGATTTTATGGGGACCAAGTAGAACATTCTTCATCCAATATAAGGATGGCACACTTTTTGAAATAGCCTTGAAATACTGGAAGACTGTCAAGAACTCAAAGGAAGTCAGGTCAGACAAATGAGGAAGCACATGTCCAAGATCCATAACAATCATAAGTATCATGAAGAAAGCAGATATGGAACAACTGCTCCCTGCAATAGCTAAATCACTTTAAAGAAAAACTTTATCTGAAGCTAGGTTCAAAACAAAGAGAAGGTGCTGATCCCTCATGCAACATGAAGTTGAAATGTGGAACTCCTGTCAAAGGGATGTTGAGGACGCTGGAAGTTTACACAGGCTCAAGAGGAGACTCGACAAATATTTGGAAAAGGAAGGTTTTCTAAATATAAATAAATCAAACCTGTCTCAGGAAACACCCAAAATAATAATGGCTGTAGACTGTGAACACTATAGATGTCATTAGATATACTATCCTTATATTCTTCCCTAGGATACAGGGAATGGGATGCTGGACAACCCGTTAGCTTTGTTCTGATCCTTTACAGTTTTTAAATTCTTTCAGTACATCACTATTTCATGCTCAGAGTTTTAAGTTTAAATAAGCTAATTTATATTTGTTGAATTGTAAAAATATCTTTCCTATGGAATAACAAAGAGCACAGAAAAGAAGAAATTACCTTCCTATTCTCTTTCATCTTCCCACTGCTAAACTATTTTTCCAATCAATTCTCTTCTCTCACTTGCTCTCACATGCACACACCAATAAATCACATAAAACATCTCTTGCTCTTCAGCATCCTGGGCATCAGTTATAACACGCACTACTTTAAAGGTCCTCCACATATAGCTTTAATTTAAATACATAACACAGTGAAAACACCTATGTCTTCAATGTTAGCCTAGCTGGAACAATAGGATATTTACAGCTGAAATTACTTTTTCCCCCCTAATGATATAAAAGCTTCATATTTATTGAATACAACATGTTTAATAAGCTTAATAAGGCATACCTTATCATACGGTAAGAGACCTTTCAAAGGAAAACGAAGGGTTGTAGGATCCAGCTTCCATGAGTTACACATGGCACCTGAGTTATTTACCACAGGAAGCAGACTACAGCGACCTACATGCAATGAAACATTACAAATTCTAAAACAGTAAAACTAGCCTATTTTTTAATCATTCTGATGCAAAAACTGGCCTCAGCCACTTTTGCTTTCCTTAAATTTCCGCTGTTTAAAGCTTTTTACCATAGGATTGCCTCGGCAGATTTTATTTTCTAACTAATTTTCAAGTAATAAAATATTTAAGGAGTAAAATCCCCATTGAGACTGGGCACCCCAAAAATAGAAATATTTGCAAATATTAATCTAAAAGTGCCTTATTAGGTTACCAGTAGACTGTTCCACTGCCATTACTTGACCTAGGCATTTAATTTTGGTACACTGACCCTTTCCACAAAGAAAGCAGTACTACTAATCTAAGTATATAATCTAGTCTTTTGATTTTCCTTCATTCACCCTGTAAGAAAAACTGGGCAGGATTCCATTTGTTAAACTAGTCAAATGCAAGTGCCTGTGCTCCAATTACAGTCACTGGAGATCTAGCCAATTCAATCAGTGTAGGCCAATGTGATCAGCTGATCATATATGAAGAGATTTTTATAGGGTAAATTTAGACTCGTTTGTCAGTGTCGTTTAGACACCTGGGATTTATTTCAGTTGCTTAAACACAGGCATCTGAACTGAGCTCCTAGTGCACCTGTATATCAGCATCTAAATGCTCAACCTTGACCTAAATTTCACTCTCAGTTCAAATTCAATGACTTCTATTATCCAGACCGGCCATAATACTACCAGATAAAACAAGAAGTAAATAAAACTCTCTTTTTCCCCTTCAACTGTATCTATACAGGTCATTTACACACAGGACTTGTGAAAATTTGTGTGTGATCCCTGCAAGTCATACGCGTAAAGGCTATGCCACACTTTCAATAGAAGAATAACTACATGCTTCTGAAACACAAAATGCTTTGCAGCATTACAGATCAATTTACATTCGTAATCTCTGCACTGAAGAAGCTCAGTTGCAATAAACCATGCTCAGATCTAAGATATAATGCAGCTGTTATTAAGCTACTTAATTCTCAAAGCAAACAGAAGAGAGCTTTATCTTTTTGAAGGGAAATGCAACAGGCATCACAACTAAAACATCCAAATTTTAATCTTCAGATTTCTAGCAATAAATAAAGGTGGGTTTTTCCTTCATGGAAGAGGACAGCCAGTACTCATCTAAGCTAGGAAATGTTCACACAGAAGCCTGCAACAATAGGGACAAGGCTGAGCAGCAACAAAAGCTCCAATGGAAAATGATGTCAGAAAACACTGTGACTAGCATGCCAATTGATCTGCATTAACTAAAAATCCTTGAGCATAGAAAATCTATGGTTTTCTTCATGTCTACTGTAGTTAGAAAGTATATGGTCACGTAACAAGCAGTACACTTCCGCTACCAGCTTATAGTAAGAAATTATTTGATCTCATCAATATGAATTTTACCCTTCAAAGCAAAAACTGAAGAGAAGCAAGACTGAGAACAAACTGACAAGAATACAGATACTACATGAAACATAAACTCTGAATCATTTTGCTTAGATGAATATGTGCCCCAAAAAGTTATAACAAACAAAATAGTTTTTAAAAAAATAATTTATTTTGAAGTCATTCATGAAGTCATTCTCTTACCACAAATGGAATTTATTCTTGCTGTAGGTCTGAAGGTATCCACAAAATCCGATACTAAATTACCTAGTAACTGGGTGAGAACAGGAGAAAAAGTAAGTTAAGGGTTTAAGTTGCAGGTATTGATAAGGAATATTTAAGACTTTAAAACAGTTTAGACATGTTAATAAAATATAAAGGAATTACTAAAACAAGCAGCTTCCTACACATTTCGACAAGTCGGAAAAATCACCCAGAACCTAGAACTAGAAAAGGAAAAATGTGACCTTATAAAGATGGGGCAGGAAACACTCCTCTCAGTTTGCACTCAAATGAGAGTTTATGTAATAACTGTTTCTCCTATGCATACTATATTATTTCAGTGCACACTACTTAGTAATTGAGCATTTAGAATTTCTGTTCATAAAAAATCTCTGTTTGCCTCTGAATAACAATTCCACAAAGACAAAGGACCTAGATTAGCACGTTCTGCTGGGTTAAATCTTAGCTCAAAATAAATCAGTAACAATCTTCCCATTAATTCAAGGGAGTCGGAATTTTATCCTTTTCCCAGCACCTAGTTATTTTAACAGAATACAAAATTAAAAACTGGATCTACATAACATTCTTTTTGGAAACAGTGACCATTTTCTTTGCACCAGAGCCCCAAGTATTTTTGCATAACTGAATTTAAACAGAAAGAAAACACTGGTCAGGTATTTAAAGTGATTTTTCTTATCCTGAAGCCATAGAGAAAGCACAAACTGGTAGGTGAGCATGACCTGCATTTCCAAAAGTATTCAACAAAACCAACTCAGTGCTTCAGGAGTTCTGAACATCAGGCCATAGGTCAGAACTACATGACCAATTTAATGCAAGAACACAGGGAACTGCAGTTGCAATCACATCAAGCCTGTATCTTAATTTACATCCCTAAACACAGAGCTTACAGTTGAGTAGAAGATTTTAAATCTTCATTTAAAATTTACTTTAAAAAAATAAAAGTAAGTTGTTTTGTGTGGAACACAAATATGATTACATGATCTGATGTTAAATCATTACCCAATGGGGAAGTTTTCCTTCAGGATACAATTTTCTGATTTCTGTAACTGCAAAGTATGCAGGCAACAAACATGCATTTCTTTCCAAAATGTAGGCTACCACCTGTAAATAAGAAAAATACATCAGTGTAAAAGACTTTGGATAAGGTAAACAAAGGTGCAGTCTGTCAACTAGTCTGAGGCAGCCCACGAAAACAGAAATACACTTTTTCTTAAGTTGTATTCTGATGGTACTACTTTAGTTTAAAACCTATTTTTAATTGTGCAAGTGTAAGTTATACTGTTTAAGCCTAAGTACACTATGCTTCCATGTCTGCCTACAATGTCCTGAAAACAATTGCTACTTTTATTCACTAAAAAAAAAATAAATTAATTAATCTCAATAGTCTATCTCATACATCTTATCTTAGGCAAGTCAAACATTGGGCCTGACACTCCTGTTAGGGATTTTAGTGCTTATCTACCATATCCCCCAAAAGCTCTTTCTTTACTGTATAAAACGCAATTACAGAAAAGAATTAGAGCACAAAGAGTAAGTCTTAGCTGTTGGACTGTACCGACTCTCAAAGAGAGCCATCCCAGCTATTGGAAACTCATTAATGACAAAAGAATGAGGCTTACCTCCCTCTAAAGTGATAACATAGAAAATTCAGATAGTTACCTCTCTCGCTGCTAAAAGCTGCTGTACAACAGCTGAGCTCACAGTGTTTGGAATTGTTAAGATTTTCTCTAGGATAACTTTCAACAGATCACGTACACCCTAAAAGAAAGCACACAAAACTAACATTCCCAGATATTCTTTATTTCTGGCAGAAAGGTTACACAACCAATATGGTCTGACAACACTCTGACAGACAAATTAGCTGTTTGTTGCTAAGTGTCAGAAGACAGACTGGTACTGAGAATGCAAACCCTAATGCCATTAAACTCCTTACAGAACTTCTCAATCTTAGGATACCCCAGATGAGAAAGTAACTGTTGAAGTGCTGATGCGCATCCAGAGGCATCCAACCTACAGCAGCTTGTGCAGACTGACCAAAGTACAATGTTGTATTTTATGGTTTTTGCACTAACATGCTCACCAATGCTGGTGAGGTGATTCTGTGCAGGAGATGCACGGTTTCCTGCTCCTTCTGTTAAGCTGCACCCTGCCAAAGACTCTGCTTTCAGGATCTTTTTCCTATGTAGCAACAGGGCTAAGAGCAGATGTGAGAACTTCAGCCTTTTCCATGTGCACCACTTCTGCAACTGCGTTAGGGTTTTTTAGCTTGTAACTGAAAGAGGGATGTAAGATGACTATGTAACAGAGAAAAGGGAAGTTACATGGTCCATATAGAATTACCTATTAAGGTAAAGCTCAACCATGAAAAAGCATTAAAAGTGCTCTCACTGAATTATTTTTTTTTTTCATAATCAAAGTAGACTTCGAAACACTGGATGTCTCTGTCGTAAAATCCTAAAAACAAAGCCAGAAAAAAACGTGTCTTATCAGGAGGAACGGAACAAGGGGAAGATACCTTGTAGTCTACACCTCCAATAATCTTCCGGACCAATTTAAATGTTAACGCCCACAACTGTGTCCTTTCCCATTCAAGCATATCAGAGTTTATCAGAGATTCACACACCATCCTAGCAGAAGGAGACAATGCAAGAATGAATGACAGAAAACAAGCACGTGCTGTCTGTTAGTAATTTTACAATGTCATCGCAAAATACCTTCCAATATTACAACTTCCATGTACCCTATTTATCGATTCACTCTGACATAGCTTACCTGGGTGGCAAAAGGCCAGTTTCTACTGCCATTGCTAAACAGTCATAAAGAAAAGAAATTCTCTTAGGACTATGCTGGCTATGAATGAATCTTACAATCCACTGGACACATTGTTCATGCGATTCCTGAAAAAGCAATAGAAGGGAGAAAGAATGTATTTACAGGTAGTGAAACAAACAGTAAAATTCATCCTACCATGAAGAAATGAAACTAATAGAAAAATAAGATTATAAATGGTAGAGGTTGTCCAACAAACAGTTTTCCCTAAAAGCCTTTTGCTCTTATTTTGAAGAAGTCCAGTTGTCCAGTATTGGAAATACCTCCTAGCCGAAACACTGATTTCTATGGGCAACTTTGGTTTTCACACCTAAGTTCACACAGAATAGAACAAAATAAAACTGTTCTATATTATTCTTTCCTTTTCACAGTTATAATCAAATTCACTGGAAAAAGAGATGACTAGGTCTCAAATTACAGAAGAGTGCCTAGAGGTATCTAAGTTTTGGAAGGTAATTTTTGAACACAAATATCTATTTTCTTTTTTCTTTTTTTCCCCCCCTACTTTTTCACTTCTACCAGAAATGCTGTAACAAACTACCTTTTTTGTTTATTTCTTTACTGTTATACTTCCATTTACTTATCTTTATTTGCATTGCACATCAACTTCTGCTGAACAAGTATATAATCTTCTAAATATCAAAACTAATCTTTCTTCTTGCAAAATCTCGCTATATTCTTTACTGTGCCATATCTGAAACCAGATTCTGAATGACTGGACATAGGCCTTACAGCTTAAGTGTCTGCCTACTACACGAGATTTCACTACACTAAAAAAGTACATAATGCACACATAAGGAACAAATTAAATGTTAACCTGGGAAAGACTGCTCCAGAACTGTCTAAAAGCACCCAGGCAGCTGATAAGTTTGGTTCTCTCATCTTCAGGAGTGTCCATAAACATACTAAAGCGAGTAAGAACATCAGTTATTAGCAGCACTCAATAAAAGAACACAAGTAGAAAAACACATGTATACAGAAAGTCTTGCTCAAATAAACTAATATTAGACTCACCCAGGAAAAGCTTCTTCAATTACTTCTGTTTTCTGTAAGAGAAAAAATCTGAGTGAGCTACTGTGAAAAGGTTTTGTACAAGTATCACACCACCAGGATGAAGCACAAAACAGTAAGTGATACCGTCATGGGACTGTATCAGAGATAGTCTGATACAGGAGACTCTTTCAAAATTGAGATTGTTTTGCTTTCATATAAACAACATACCTTGTGGACCCAGATTAAGGTTCTTTGGTTTTTATTCTTTTTTTCCTAAATACCTGGGAATTAATTTACTTACCAAAGTTGGAGAAATTGTTTGATTCTGTTATTCCAGCTCTTTTTTCATACTTTGAAAAAATTTGTATTTTTGAATCCCATTAAGTTTTTGTCCCACTTATGTTCCATGACACCTAGTTACACAAATCAATTACACAGAGTTAACCCAACTCCATTCTCCTCAACAGCTTCTTTCTATATCATTATTCTAATACACCAGTAAAGAGGTTCTGGAAAATACTATCCTACTACTTTTTTTTTTACCTTCTATAAGAATTTGGGATTATATTCAGATGCGACCTAAAACAGACCACTATCTGTTCTCATTGTCATATTGTAGAAATAAAAGCATGCAATAAAATAATCTTTCTGAGGATCCTTTTCAATCACACAGCCTAGAACTGCCTGTCACTGCTACTCATAGCTTTCTCAAGAAGCAAATGAGAAACTGTCCTGGTTTTGCTAGGGTAGAGT